TCAGGATCCAGGAACTTCTTCCGGGTATCCCACACGGGTGCAGGATCCCAAAGCTTAGGGCCATCCTTGACTGCCTTCCCAGGCCACAGGCAGGGAGCTAGATGGGAAGCAGGGCTGCCGGAATTAGAACCAGTGCCCAATTGGGATCCTGGCATGTGCAAGGCAAGGAGTTTAGGCACTAGGCTACCGCACCAGGCCCAGATATTTTATTTTTAATATTTACATAGTTGAGAGAGATTCATGCCCAAGTGGACCTCTGATTAGAGTGGGGAGGATTAGGCATGAAGGGAAGGACACACATTTCAGTCCCTTCTTTCCTCCTGTGTTCACGGCGGATGAGGGGGAGGGGATGCCTCCTAGCAGTCAGATTCCACCAGCACCCGGGCTGAGGGACAACCCTGATATGGAAAAGAAGGTTCCCAGGTGTTGAGTGGTTTTGATACTTCTGACAAGTTGTTGGCTTTGCTGCACCAGGGTTTCAAAACTTTCTCAGGTCCATCAGCTGACCAAGTCCACCTCAGTGCATCCACAGGCCCAGGAACATGCTGCAAAGCCTGGCCGGGAGAGTGGTCCCAACTGTTCTGCTTATGCTTGGGTTTAATTGCAGAGGTTTTCATAGTGCTTTTCTGAACAGGGATTCCTAAATCTGTATAAACTTCAGACTTCACAGCGTCTGGGTCTGCCCAGGTTTCCAGGTCACGTTAGGTCTCCGGAGGCAGCAGGCAGGGCAAGGCAGGTGCTGACAGTAACACACTGATCAAATGGGTAAGGGTTTCTAAGTGCAACTGAGAGCTGAAATGCTGCACTGTTACTCGCATGAGCACCCTGTGTTCTGAAATAAGGAATCTGTTTGTTCTGACAGGAGTTTGCGATGGGATTAATGTGGGACTGGCACCTGGCACTGCAAGCTAAGCCTCTGCCTGTAGCAGATATTGCATATGAACAGACTGCAGTCCCAGCTGCTCCATTTCCCATCGAGCACCTCAATTTTCAGTCTGCAGCCAGAGCTGGGACCTGAGTTAGGGCCAGGAGAAGGGGCTGTTGCTGTGGTGTTAGGATTCTGTCTTCCTGGAGGGAGACAGACCCAAAGAGAACAGAGAACCCATCACAGGAGCGCCCTGTCCCACTCCCAGGTCAGTAGTTACCAGTGCCAGGGCTGCTGCCCCCTCCATGAAAAGCTGGCAGGTGTGGGCTCCCTTGCTTGTACAGCTCTTCAAATTTTCCTGATAGTACCTCCTTGCAATCACCTAGCAAGTTAGAAACTCCATGACTGTCTCACGAGTGCCTCTCAATGCGGTTGTTAATCTCATCTCCCTTGCAGAACTGCTTTACGACTTAGAGATAATATCAGTAAAGGAGTTTTATTGTCCTGCCTGGGACATTGGTGAACAACTCTGCAGAGTACAATGTTTTTGTTTTGTTTTGTTTTGAAAAGGGGGTGGAGAGGGGGATGGGCCCTGGTGTGGTGGCACAGTAGCCCAAGCCTCTACCTGCAGTACTGACACCTGCATCCCATATGGATGCCAGTTAGAGTCCTGGCTGTTCCACTTATGGCATCGTCCCTGGTGACATTTTCTTTTGAAAATCCTTTCCCCCCATCCTTCCTATCTTCTCGGTTTTGTCACATTAGCAACTATGCAGTTAGGTGGAACCCTACTGGAACGCGAGTTTTATTATGAAATAGAGAGGGGTTGGTAATTAGGAAGTTCCCTGAGGACATGCAAAGGGCCTTCCCCCAAACTATCCTGGACCAAATCAAAGCACCCATCCCCACCTGTTTGAATGTTCACCATGAGGAAGCACAGAGCTGGAGCCTGGGATTCCAGTTAACTATGAGAACGGAAGAAGAGACTGCCAGCTGCACCCTCCTCCACAGGGTTGGCTCTATCACCCACATCCGTCCATGCACACACTGCTTGTTGCAATTGCTCGGAGCAAGCGACAGGATCAGACTTCTGACCTGTGGTTGTTCATTGCTGGTGTCTCTTTTGTATCCCCTCACAATTGTGCTTAAAAAACACCAGGTCCGGGCCTGCCACGATACAGTACTGGTTCAAGTCCTCACCTTACATGTGCCAGGATCCCATATGGTCTCTGGTTCTAATCATGGCAGCCCTGCTTCCCATGCAGTTCCTTTCCTGTGGCCTGGGAGGGCCGTGGAGGACGGCCCAAAGCCTCTGGTTCCTACACCCACGTGGGAGACCCAGAGCAGGCTCCTGGCTTCGGATTGGCTCAGCTCGCCCCGGCCATTGTGGTCACTTGGGGAGTGAACCATCGGACGGAGGATCTTCCTTTCTGTCTCTCCTCCACTCTGTGTATCTGCCTTTCCAGTAAAAATAAATAAATCTTTTAAAAAACGCCAGTTCCATTATTTTATCGGGCGTTTCTCTCTTGACAACCCCTCTCCTGATGTTCCTATTTCCGTCTTTAATCTTGCTCTGCACACCTAAATGTCTGTGTTTGACATCTTCTGTCATGTGAGGTAAGAACTGAGGTCCCTTTCATCTTCCCGTGAATTCCCCACACTAAAGGCCCTGGGAAGGGAGAGGAGACGGTCCAAGTGCGTGAGTCCCTGAGCAAGCAAGGCAGAGGGTGGGCTTATTTTTTATTTCACATATTCTGAAAGATGCTGAGAAGTAGACAAAACAGGAGACAGGCTCAGAAAGAACTGTGCCCACTCAGGGGTCCGGTCAGGCCGGCAGAGACTGGGCCCAGAGCTAAGTGGTCAGGGGGCGGGGGAGTGCACCTGCCTGCTGAGCTGGGAGGGGGGTGCGGGTCTCCTGCACAGCGCTTCGAACAGGGTGAGCCAGGGTATCTTCTTTCTCTCCAACTGACAGACTCGTTTCTCCCACATAATCAGGCCCCCGGTTACTGGGGATCGGCTGCTCGCCATTCTGATCTTCACGACCGATTGAGACACGAGGTGGAGTGCGGCGGGGAGCACGGCGCATCTGCCACGGGAGGCAGGAACCCTGGTAAAGAACCGAGAGCCGGCGGGCTGCACGCAAGCTCCTGGGTACTTTTCTCCACTGCCTGGACCCTCTCCTGGAATACTGTCAGGTGCAGGGCTTGCTGAATCCTTCCCGGGGCTCCCTACCAGTTACCCCCAACCCTGTGAAGGGCAGAGTCCTCAAGCTGCCCCAGGGAGCAGGCTGGGACCCTCCGACTGGGTTACTGAGCCATGGGAAGGACTTGTGGATGGAAACACTGGTTTGCTACTTTTTTCCATCACACAGAGATTCCCATTTTCCTTCCCTGCCTTTCACACACAGGCTCTTCCCAGCTACCTTAACACTAACATTAAACACAACGTGATCAATATCTTTAAATGGCACTTAAAAAAAGAGAGAGATTAATGTATTATTTTAAAGTCAGTTATAAAGAGTTCACCCACTGGGCAAGGCTGAAGCCAGGAGCCCCATTGGGGTCCCCACAGAGTGGCAGGGGCCCAAGCACCTGGGCCGTTTTCCACAGCTTCTCGCAGGCCAGCAGCAGGGAGCAGGATCCAGGCAGAGCAGGTGGGAGGATTTCTAACGCAAACGTGAGAGCCGCTCCCCCAGGGCTTCATCTGACTGGTGATTTCTATCTGCCATTCTCACAGATGTGGCTGGGGCCAAGCTCTCTCCACCAGGGCTCCCATCTCCCCTGAACTGGGCTCCCACAGGTGTGACGTTGACTGCTGGGGTAAGCCCCGCACTTGGGACATTCCACACAGCTAGGACAATACCCCATCAACCTCACAAGCAACCTAGATTTCCAACCCTAAGCCCCACCCACCGGATCTGGGTCCCTGCCGCTCCCCAAGGCGCAGCTCACCAGGGACTCTGCCGCCCCGACCCTCGGGGTCCCAGCGAGCTCAACCCCCACTCCGGCCCCTTCCATCCCGTGCCCCCTAAAAGAGTCTTATGCTGTAACCAACTGCCTCCTCACCATCTTGAAACGCCACATTCTCCGAACCCCCGCTAGCTGAGCCCTGAACACCTACACTTCGTTCTGGGCTGGGGGCGTCTTCTCCTTGTCCACCACTTGACCTAATTAAGAGCCATTATCTCTCAGCTATCCCGAGGAAGCAGGAAAAATACAGATTCCGGTGGAGGGAGATCGGTGCAAGAGGCAGTCACCGGGTGTTTCCTCTTCCAACAGGATGGATGCTACGGAGAGCGACGGTTCCCGGGCAAATCCAGGAGCGTGGTCCCGAGCCAGCCCCTTCCTTAGCGGGATAGGCAGACTGGCCGGGGAAGCATGCAAGGTGCAACCGGAGGCCTCGCTGCTCGGACCGGGGCCACCGAGGGGGCTCGCCCCTAGGACCCCAGTTCGCTAGGAGGAAGGGGAGCCGAGACGCGAGGGCCTCTCGAGCAGGAAGACACCCGGCCTGACAGAGCCGGTTCCACGAGGCCCGGGACTAGGGCGGGAACGGAAGAGCAACGTCCGGGACCAGGTTCCCGGGACACCTTGCAGCGCCGGAAGCACCCGGCTGTCTTTGTGGGGATTGGCTACTCACCCCCTTATCCCGCCTTCCGACCTCAGGCTTCCCAAGGATTGGCTGCCCCCTGCTTCGTCCGGATTGGACGGCGGCCCCAGCGTGGTCGGTATTGGCTGGCAGGAGCCGCCGCTCTCAGCGCAGCCCGGGCGAGGCTTGAGGTCCCCTCGCGCGTGAGTCGGCATCCTCTTTGTTCCGCCGGCGGGCTGCAGGTAGGACCGAGCTGCGGTCAGCGGTCGGCGGGCAGGACGGGGCGGCGGGCAGGACGGGGCGGCGGGCAGGACGGGGCCGTGGAAGGACGGGGCGGCCCGTCTCGAACCCTTCCCCGCATCCCCTCGAGCTTTGCCCGCTCGGAGCTGCCGCTGCTCCGGGCGGCCAGAACGCAGGGGTAGAGCAGCCCTCGGGGGTCCGGGGGGCGGGCGGCCGTGCCCGTCCCGGGACCGCGCGAGGCACAAGGCAGCCCTACTGCAGCCGTCTGCGCGGGGACGGCTGCCGGGGCGCCCGCCATACGGTGCGCTTTGCTTTCCAGGGCGGACCCACGCGGCTGCAGGGAGGAGCCAGAGCCCGCCCGGCGGCGTCCGAGCGCAGGTAAGGCAGGGGCTGGGGGTGGCGATCCCGGGGCGGCCGCGGTACACCCTCTCCTAGGCCCTCGTGCCGCCGACGCAGTGCGGCTTGAGGCCAACACAGGAGGGTAGAGGGACTCCTCCATGAAACCCAGGGACGAGGCCGCTCCTCCTCTCTGGAGCCTGTCTGGAGGCACAGTTGAGCCGTCACCTCCCGGTGACTGCAGGGCCGTGGCTGAAGGGGGGATGGGGTAGATTTGAACCTGTGGGGCGGAGAGAGGCCAGCTTCCTTCCCCGGCAGAGGGAGGAACAGCCGCCACTTGGAGCCTGATAAGATGGGCGTGGGGTGTAAGGGCTGGGAGTTGAGGATGGCTGAAGGTCTGAAGCAAGAGGCTCCACGTGGGTGCAGGGGCCCAAGCACTTTGGCCATTCTCTGCTGGCAGATCAGAAGTGGAGCAACTGTGACTCGAACCAACATTCCTGCGATTCCAGTGCTTAAGGCTGTGTGCGGCTTATGCACCACAAGTCGCAGTCCCTTCAGACAGTGTCTTTAAAGCCCCTATTTTTTTCCATAGGGTTTTACTTATACAGAAGAAGAGCTGGAGGTCTCGGATTTGCTGGCTCACTCTGTAAATGGCCTCAGTGTCCAGAACCAGGCTACCTTGCAGTTAGAGCTGCCTCTGGGTCTGCCACGGGGCTACCCGGCGCCAAGTATTTGAGCCTTTTTCTGCTGCTCTCTGTGGTGCACTAGCAGAGAGCAGGTTCAGAAGTGGGGCACCAATGAGAAAGTGGCAGTGTGGATGGAGGTTTAGCCAGCTATGCCACACACTGCCCTCCCCTCCTTTTTGATGTTACTGATTTGAAGGAGTTATAGAGGAGAGGCAGATAGGAGCATACGTCAGGAGCCTAGCACGTGGGCCCTCTGCTAACCCAGAAATATTAAGCAGAGATGTAGCTTAGAAGTGGGACAGGCTGGGCCTGGCTTAGTAGCCTAGTAGCTAAAGTCCTCACCTTGCATGCACTAGGATCCCATATGGGCAGTGGTTCCTATCCTGGCTGCTCCACTCCCCATCCAACTCCCTGCTGTGGCCTGGGAAAGCAGTTGAGGATAACCCAAAGCCTTGGGACCCTGCACCTGTGTGGGAGACCCAGAGGGGGCTCCTGGTTCCGGCCCCCTGCTTTGGATCAGCTCAGCTGCGTCTGTTGCAGCTACTTGGAGTGAATTGGCAGATGGAAGATCTCTCTGCCTCTCCTCTCTGTATGTCTGACTTTACAAAAAAAAAGTAGGATGTGGGCTTCCAGTACCCTAGTGTCAGACCCTTCTGGGTGGTGCCAGCAAGGTTCACCCAGTTAGCATAGTCAAGAAGCGGTCTGCAGTCGCCACTAATTCCTCATTTGCAACTTGCCCTCCCCTAGTAAACTTAGCTGCCCTGCCTCCCCTTCTGCGTGTTCCTTACTCCTCACAAGTCGGAGTTGATCAGAACCACAGATTGCCACCTCGTCTTGGGGGCCTTGGGACCTTGGCAGGGTGAGGAAGCTGACAGCTCTCACCTCCCCTGTCCCCACAGAGCTCCTGTTGGAAACGCCAGACCTCTGTCAGCCCAGAACAACTGGGACGGCCTACCTCCGTCCTTCACCGCTGAGACTCGCTGAGTCCTTGCCATGTCTTCTCACAAAACCTTCAGAATCAAGAGATTCCTGGCCAAGAAACAGAAACAGAATCGTCCCATTCCCCAGTGGATTCGAATGAAAACTGGTAACAAGATCAGGTACAACTCCAAGAGGAGACACTGGAGGAGAACCAAGCTGGGTCTGTGAGGAGCTGCGCTTCAGCATGAGACATGTCACTGCCGACCGTCAGCTAAGGACACCACCGCCACTGGGCAGTGACATGTGACCACGCCAGTAATAAATGTGTGAGATGCTTTGAAAAACAAGGTGGCTTAGCTGTCCATTCTGCCGCTGGGACGTTTGGTGGGGTCTCGGTATTTTTCTTAGAAATGCATGGGAGAGACATTTGGAGGGTTCCGGCCAGGTTGCCTTCCTGGACGGACCCGGCCTCCACCCACCTGTATGGGTATCAGATTCCTGTGCCGCTCTGCTCCACCTGGGATCTCATGTTCTGCCTGCTGGCATTGCCCCCTCACCTCCCTCGGGTCTTCAGGGTTTTCCTGCTGGATTCTGCCGAGCAGCAGGCCACCCTCCTTCGGTAGCCCAGCCGCCTGGCTGCCCTTTCCCTGCGACACTTTGAGCCCCTGGGAGGACCTGCGGGCTTAGCTAGGTCCAGACTCAATCTGTTCCTTAATCTACCTCTTTGCAGATATTGGGTCCAGTCCTGCATCCCAGGAAGCCCACTTTGAGCTGCGGGCATGGGGGCACAGGGGCTGGTTGCCAGGCTTGATAGATGTGGGTTTAGAGCTAGTGCCTCAGGAATACCTAGGCAGGAGTGTGACAATGCTTCCGTTCACTCCCTGGGCCCCAGCATGCTCTGCTCCTACAGCCTAGGCGCGTGGGCACAGGCAGGACCCTGGGGATCCCTTGGCTTTCTCCACTCAGATGGGCAGTGAGTCATCTGTGGCTTATGCCCCTTGAGTGCATCCTTGGCCCCTGGCTTGGCTTGCAGTCCTTGAAGAGGAGACGTAACCCTGGCCTTCGGTGTGCCACGGCATGGATAGCTTGCCCCACAAACTGCAGCACCTCCCTGAGCCAGACCTGTTATGCCACAGGGCAGAAAGTACTCTGGTGGCCTCCGTGTGGCGTTTCCTGCTCTGATGGATTCAGCTCTGGCAGCCACCCCAGGACTTTGGGGGCCCAAACTCGTCCCTACTGAGCTGTGCTCAGCTCTGCTTCCAAGCCCTGCTTCTGCAGCACCCTCTGCTGATCAGCCTGACCCAGAATTCCCCACCATTCATCCCCGAGGTTCCTGGAGAGTTCCTAAGCCCCGGGCTCGCAGCGCCCCCTTCTCGCTGAGGATCTTTGGGAAGTAGAGGAAGGCCTGGGAAACTTCATGGTCTTACCAGGCGTGTCGGCCTTACAGCATTCGAACTAGCGTGCTGGTCTGTTGCCTCACCTGGGGAACTTACTGCTGCTCTTAACCTCAGACCAGCAACAGGCAGTCTACCAGGCCGCAGAAGTCAGGGTCTGTATGGTCTTTGGCTCCTGCCCAGTTAGCCCCCATAGGAGTAGTGGCTACCTCAGCATCTGCCTCAATGTGCATGGAAACCGGGCAATCCTGTAGTTGAATGCAGAAGGAAAGATTTAGTTGCCTGCCTCAAAGGGCTGAGGAGGACCAAGATCAAGCCGCTGGAGTGCCCCGAGCTGTCCACGATGGATCCCGGCAGGAGGAAAGCCCCCTTCCTTGTGCAGGGGCTGCAGGGGCCCTGGTCTGGCGTGTGCCTGCAGAGGACAGCTGGGCGCTGAGGGACAGGTCTGTTGCCCGTTGTGCTCCAGGTACTGTGAGGAAGCTCCAGAAGCGGGATCTTAAACCCCAGACACTGCAGTCTCCAGCCTGCCACCTTGATCTTTGCAGCCGGGACATGACAGTGCCAGCAGTGGGAGAGGAGAGCCGAGGAAAGGGCCACAGTGCTGGCAGGGCATTGCAGTCACAGCAACCGAGGGTCCTTGAAGCAGTAAGACTGGGCAAAGGGGTCAGTGTCTCCATGCTGCAACTGGAAAAGGCCTCCAGGATCCTGTCCTGTCTGCAGTAGGGATCACTGGAGACAAAGTCCTGGGGGGTTGGTTCCTCTACCTGGGGTGACCCTGCCAGGCTGCCCCTACCAGATCCTAAGGTTGGGGTGAGGAAGCAGATGGCTTCCTTTTGGACACTGGAGCTGCCTTTGTGTTCTACCCAGGTCTTCCCTCAACATGACCAGGAGAGCTGTCTCTAGGAGATGAACTATCAGATGTTCCACTCAGTCCCCTGGGGTGTCGCTAGGGCCTTCAGGTATTCTCAGGTGCCTCCCTGATCAGGGGGGGCCCAGCTACTCTGGCTAGCAGGGATCTCGACCCAGATGGGAGAGGGAGATCACCAGGATAGTCCTTCTCCTAATGGGGCACCCTGCCAGAGGGAGTGTACCTCGCCTCCCGGGACTTGTCAGTGTTTGGGAACCTCTCAACTCTGTCCTCTAGTTGGACTGTGCTGGGATTCTTACAATTGGGCAGGCCATGTCCACAGTACAGAACACCTGGGGGTCACTGCTGCGCAGGACAACCTCCTGCATCCCACAGAGAGCTGGAAGGCCCTTCTCCACTCGTGCCAAGGAGGCTGTGGAGTTTTGGTCCATCGCCCAGCCCTGCCAGGCTCCCTTTCCTGGGGAAACCTGGGCACAGGGTGGAGAATACAGCCCATAGCCACCTTTCCACTGCCACGGACCCTAGGGCAACTTTCATGGTGCCGATAAAAGGCAGCAGGTGCCAAGAGACCCAAAGGACCTGTACCCAACTTAAGCTTTGAGGTCCCAGCTTTAGGTCAAGGTAATAGAAAGCAGTGGCCTGAGGGACCACCCTGACTGCCCACGGGGTCCATGGGAACAACCAGGTGACTCCCCCAAGCGGTGGCAGCACTTTCCCTCATTCCCTGAAGCCACCAAACTGACCTCTTTCCAGGAAGCCATCACTCGGAGGAGCATGGCCTGGAGACCTCCGGCAGGGAGAAGAGGAAATGGCAATGAAGTGGTTCCTCCACGTGATCTTGGGGAGCCCCAAGCCCTTGCACCTCCCCTCTTCCTGGCGCGTGCTGGACCAGGGTGGAGATGCTGTGCACAAGCCCTCACTGCTGGGGGAGGGCGTCCCAGGCGGAGTGCTGTGCAGGAGGCCTAGCACTGGGCAGGCGTGTGCTCACTACCTCGAGGAGGTGCAGCGTGAACCCTGTGCCCTAACAGTGTCTGGGCTTCCCAAGCCAACTGCAGCAGCACCTGAGGGGGACGGGGACTCCGCCTGCTGTGGGACTGCAGGCTTGCTCATCTTGATTAAGTCAGACCTTTAAGGTGTTTGATCGTTTCTGACCACAGCTGGTCCAGGAAAATTCCTCAGACCGGGCTCTGCCCAGGAGGGCAGACGACTCAGCTGCTACCCTTGGTCTGGCCTGCTGCTGCTGCTGCCACAGGGTAAGGGGCGTCCCCAGGGGGACGGCACCCCACAGTGGGACGTGTTTCAGCCAGGGGACATGCTAAGGAGGTGGCTCTTGCCAGACTGCTACAGTGACATGCTCCACTGCCACAGCGCTCTTGGAAGCAGCATGCTTGGACCCGTGAAACCTGACCGGGCATTTCCATTACAGCACCCTGGCCCTCTCGTGCCAGCCCCTTCAGCTACACCTGCCTGGCCTGGAAACACGCCAAGGTCATTGCGCTCTAGGGAAAATTTGCACCCAGGCCATATTTTCTTTGAAGCTTTTTGTGTCGTAAGGATTTATTTTTGTTTGAAAGGCAGTTACTAAGAAAAGTCTACCATTCCCTGTTCCACTTCTCAAATGGCTGCAATGGCTGGAGCTGTGGCCGTGAGGCCGGGATCTTGGTTCCCACTGCGCTGCCCCTGCAGAAGGACCTAAGGAAGGATTTTATATGAGTAATGTGCTTTGCATAATGGTCACTTGACAAAAGTTTTTTTTTTTTTTTAAAGATGTATTTTTTTCTATTACAAAGTCAGATATACAGAAAGGAAAAGAAACAGGAGGAAGATCTTCCGTCCGATGATTCACTCCCCAAGTGACCACAACGGCCGGTGCTGTGCCGATCCGGAGCCAGGAGCCAGGAATTTCCTTCAGGTCTCCCATGCAGGTGCAGGGTCCCAAGGCTTTGGGCCGTCCTTGACTGCTTTCCTAGGCCATAAGAAGGGAGCTGGATGGGAAGTGGGGCTGCCGGGATTAGAACTGGCGCCCAAAAGGGATCCCGACTTACTGCTAGGCCACGTTGCCGGGCCCAGGAAAGGTGTTTATTGCTGATGACTAGTTGGCAAAGCTGGAAGCACTATGGTGGCGAGCTGGAGCGTGTTAGGCAGCTCCTCTGACAGCAGTCCTACTGTCTGGGTCAACCAGTAGGAAGCACTAGGCCCCGCTCCAGCAGTGCAAACAGGTCGGAGAAGTTAATCAAGCTTGTGTCATTGCTCAAATGCCTGCTCTCCGTTCTGTGTAGAATCAGTAGTTTTCATTCTCAAATGAGCACAATGCTTTATGTATCCACTTCAAACAAAACATTTCTTGGTCCTGGCATGGTAGCCTGGCCACTTAGGTCCTCACCTTGCACGTGGTGGGATCTCATATGGGTGCCACTTCCCATCCAGCTCCCTGCTTGTGGCCTGGGAAAGCTGTCAAGGACGGCCTAAAGCCTTGGGACCCTGTGCCTGGGAGACCCGAAAGAGGCTCCTGGCTCCTAGCTTTGGATTGGCTCAGCTCCTGCTGTTGCCACTGAGGGAGTGAGTCAGAATGGGAGATCTTTCTCTCAGTCTCTTCTATTTCTGACTTTTTCCAATAAGAGTAAATAAAGTGAGGTAGTGGGCCTGCTTCCTGCCTGTGACGTTGGCATCCTCGTGTTTGTCCCGGGTGCTACACCTCTGAACCAGTGACCTGCGTGTGGCCTCCGGAAGCATAGAGAATGACCACTGCGTGCACGTGGGAGACCTCAAGAAGCTTCTGGCTCCCACTTTGTAACAGGCTCAGCTGCCACTGTGCCCATTTGGGGAGTGCATCAGCTGATGGGAGACCCAAAATCTGCCTTCATTTCTGAATTGCCCCAGGTTTCAACTAGTTAGAGTGCCGTAGTTTGATTTTTTTTTTTTTAAGATTTATTTTTGGAAAGGCACATATAGAGAGGAGAGACAGGAAGATCTTCTGTCTGCTGATTCACCCCCCAAGTGGCCACAATGGCCAAACCTGAGTCGATTCGAAGTCAGGAGCCAGGAGCCTCTTCTGGGTCTCCCACGCAGGTGTAGGGTCCCA